CATTATAGGAAAGAACATGAGGATTATTTATTTATTTTTCTGAAACAGTGTCTCATTCTGTTGCTGTGGGTAGAGTGCTGTGGCATCATCATAGCTCACAGCAACCATAAACTCTTGGGCTCAAGCCATCCTCTTGCCTCAGTCTCCCAAAGAGCTGGGACTACAGGTGCCTGCCATGATCCCCGGCTAGCTTTTCTTTCTTTCTTTTTGAATTTATTAATAGTTTATCACTCATATTTATAGTTCAGGAACACAGGTCAGTGACAAACATCTATGTAAATCAGCCCAAAGAAATTCTTTATATTTCAAAATTACTTTACAATCTGAAAGACACCAGCCTTCTTCATCTCCTCAAAATCTTTCAGAGAATCATAATTTCCGTAGAAATCTGCATATGCCTTCTTTCTTGGTTCAGCCACAGCTTACCAAACTTATAGAAAGCTGCAACCCCCAGGGATACAACAAATGCTCCAATAATATAAATCTTCAAGTGCCTGGCCAAGAGGCCACGCATCTGAGGTTTGGCCAAAGCACTGGAAGCCATGGTAGTTACTGTCCTTGATGGGTATTGCCAACCTCAACACGTCCTTCCCAGCTGAGGAACACACATAAACTGCCTAGCTTTTCTGTTTTTAGCAGAGATGGGGTCTTGCTCTTGCTCAGGCTGGTCTCCACCTCCAACTCAAGCAATTCACTCACCCTGGTCTCCTAGAGTGCTAGGATTATAGGTGTGAGCCACCATGTCTGGCCGAACATAATGTTTAGAGTTAAACTGACCTGGGTTTGGTTCCCAAGTCCCTAACTTCAGTGACTTGGCCTCTCTGAACCTGTAGAGGAGAAATATCTCTAAAATGTTGTTTGAGGGTTGGTGCCCATAGCACAACGGTTATGGCACTGGCAATATGGTCTGGGTTAGAACCTGACCTGGGCCAGCTAAACAACAATGACAACTGCAACAAAAAAAATAGCCGGGTGTTGTGGTGGGTGCCTTGTAGTCCCAGCTACTTGGGAGGCTGAGGCAAGAGAATCACCTAAGCCCAAGAATTTGAGGTTGCTGTGAGCTGTGACACCATGGCACTCTACCAAGGGCAACATAGTGAGACTCTGTTTCAAAATAAATAAATAAATAAAATAAAATGTTGTTTGATCAGTGTACTTAATACTGACACACCTAGACACTCTAACAATGTCAAGTCTCTTGAGCTAGGGTTTTGGGTCATGGAACCATCTCTAGCTTTCCTCTGGACTTTGGAAAATCTGCTATGCTAGATTTCTGGTAGGAGATGTCATTAAGACCAGCATTTCCTCTTGACTATGCTATTACTTTCCTCAAAGGTTTTGTCACTTCCATATCACCAAACCATTCTCCCTCGTTGGTCGGAATTGAGGCCAGAGTATTAGTTCCTCTTGAAGCTTCCTTTGCTTTCAAAGAGACAACATTTTCAACAACACAACTCATGCATGTATTGGCTGCTCTTTTCATAACAGATGGGACTTCTGGCAAATGTTTTTCTTTGCTACCCACCAAGGAGAGGGTCAGTTTGCAGTTGTTTTCCTATTTTCTCTTTTTTTTAGAGACAGAGTCTCACTCTGTCACCTTAGGTAAAGTGCTGTGGCACCACAGCTCACAGCAACCTCCAGCTCTTGGGCTTAGGTGATTCTCTTGCCTCAGCCTCCGAGTAGCTGGGACTACAGGTGCCCGCCACAACACCCGGCTATTTTTAGTTGCAGTTTGACCGGGTTCCAACTCACTATCCTCAGTATATGGGGCTGGCACCCTACTCACTGAGCCACAGGTGCCGCTCTTCTTTCCTATTTTCTGAGATCAATTAAGGGACATTGGAGTTGTTATTCCTTTGTTTATAGGATGGCCTTCTTTGCAGCAGCTAATACTATTTTCCCCAAAAGGAAACACATGGAAACTTCTAAAAGCAGAGTTTGTAGGAGTCAGATGGGAGAATAGAGACAGTATTGCTGAGGCTGAGTGCCCTACTCTCTAGCTGGCTATAGATTCAGGGTTTCTCTATTCACCCATAGAGACCTCTGCCCCTCCTAATTTTCCCAGGGGAGGGTTGGGCAAGGTTTCAGGTTAGTGTGGAAACCAGGTGTGGTCTGGCTTTGGGAGGAAAAGGAAGAGAAGAGAAAGTATGGGAGGTTAAGGTTTCATGTCTTAGTATTTTATCGCATCAGGCTGTTCCCACTTCTGAGGCACCCTTTTCTACAGGGAGGCACTTGCAGGAATTCAAATGCCCAGCAGTGTGGACATGCTGAGCAAAAGGAAGCTTGCAGTACTGAGGATCATATAGCCTGCTGGGCCCCAGGGAATGGGTGAGTGCCCTAAGTCTCCATGAGGGAGGCCAGCTGGTAATACAACAGGGTTCCACTTTCCTCCATGCACCGGGGGGGAAGCCAAGGTGATGTAGATACCTTGCTTGGAAAAGCTTAATACACAGCATTCTGAATCCCACTTGGAGGAGGGGAAAAACACACTTAAAAGTGTTCAGCTAGACTCAGTAACAATCAACACAGAACACTTCTGTGACCAAATGTGTGGAGTCTCCCTAGTTCCATCAAGGAAGTAGTCAGTTATGCTGCTGACAGCAGATAGGTGTCCTCTAATTCAATCCTGATACTATCTACTGCAGATAGATCCCATAGGCTGAGGACTCAGTCCTCAATACAGCATCCCTATCACTTCCAACACCAATCACAAGCCCCAGGTTGTTTTGCCTGACTGGCTATAAATCCAGTTTCCCTAACTGCCTCCTTGGGTATGATTAATTTGCTAAAGTGATTTACAGAATTCAGGGACACACATACTTACATTTACTAGTTTATTACTAAGAATATTTTAAAGGATACAAATAAACATCCAGATGAAGAGAGATGTAGGACATAAAAGTGAAGTCTAGAAGTATCCTGAGTGTGAGAACTTCTGTTCCCATGGAATTGGTATGTGCCACTCTCTGGGCATATGGACTGTTCTTGTTTACCTCCAGCTATACAGAAGTTCTCTCAACCTTGTCTATTCTTTTCTTTTCTTTCTTTCTTTTTTTTTTTTTTTTTTAGATAAGAGTCTCACTTTATTGCTCAGGCTGAGTACCCTGCCTAGCTCACAGCAATCTCAAACTCTTGGGTTCAAGTGATCCTCCTGCTTCAGCCTCCTGAGTAGTTGGGACTACAGGTGCCTGCCACAATGACTGGCTAAGGTTTTCTATTTTTAGTAGAGACAGTCTCTTTCTCTGGCTCATTTGAACTGGTCTTGAACTCCTGAGTTCAAGGGATCCTCTTGCCTCAGCCTCCTAGAGTGCTAGGATTACAGGCATGAGTCACCATACCAGGCCCTCCTTTTGAGTTTCTTTTTTTTTTTTTTTGAGACAGAGCCTCAAGCTGTCCCCCTGGGTAGAGTGCCGTGGCATTACAGCTCACAGCAACCTCCAACTCCTGGACTCAAGCAAGCCCCCCGCCCCCCCCCCCAAAGTAGCGAGGACCACAGGCCCCTGCCACAACGGCTGGCTACTTTTTTTGGTTGCAGCCATCATTGTTGTTTGGCGGGCCCAGGCTGGATTTGCACGCTCCACCTTAGGAGTATGTGGCTGGCGCCTTAGCCACTTGAGCCACAGGCGCCAAGCCCCTTTTGAGTTTCTATAGTGGTTTTATTACATAGGCATGATTGACTAAACCACTGGCAATTAATGATTGCCTTAACTTTCAGCCTTTCTGCTCTGGAGGTTGGGTGGTAGGACTGAAAGTCCCAGTCCTCTCATTTTGCCTTGGTGAACATCCTCATTCTGAAACAATCTAGGGGGCTGCTGGCCATCAGTCAACTCAGTTTTCAAAAAGCCATCAATTTGGGCCTGGTGCAGTGGTGCTCATGCTTGAGCAAGAGCAAGACCCTATTTTTACTAAAAATAGAAAAATTAGGCAAACGTGGTGGGCACCTGAAGTTCCAGCTACTTGGGTGGCTGAGACAGGAGGATCCCTTGAGCCCAGAACTTAGAGGTTACTGTGAGCTATGACACCATAACATTCTAGTGTTGGTCAACAGAGTGAGAATCTGTATTAAAAAAGAAAAAAAAGATATCACTTTGGAGATTCTAAGGATTTTAAGAGTTTGTAGACCAGGAAGCAGGGTTGAAGACAAATATGTATTTTATAGCATTACATACCCACACTCATACTTATTTTACAAATATGTGTTTTATAGCATCATGTACCCATACTCACCTCAGTGCTTGAGAGGCCACACCATGCACAATCTCACCTGTCTTATCCTGATGCATAGGGAGAGAAGGGGAGTATCCTCTAATCATGTGTCAGTTACGGGTGGATGGAGGCTGCAGGACAGGGAAAAATTGCCCCTTTTTGATTTGGGGTCAAAATTAATGCCCTTCAGCCAGGTGTGGTGGTATGTGTCTGTAGACCTAGCTACTTGAGAGGCTGGGGTGGGAGGGTCCCTTGAGCCCTAGAATTTGAGGCTACAGTAAGCTATCATTGCATCTCTGTACTCCAGCCCAGGCAATAGAGCAAGACGCTGTCTCTTAAAAAAAAAAAAAAAAAAAGGATCTCCCCCACGAGAACCATGACTACAGATATGGGAAAGATGCCCCTCCACCTCTTAAAGCCTTAAGAGCTCCTTTGTGCTCTTGAACTATGAGGTACATCTGTGGGAAGACTTTGGAATAAATGCTATTCAGCCCTGACTCATCATGCCACTGACCCCAGTCCAGGCTATCTCCCATGTCTCCCTTGGAGCAGTTACTCGAAGAAGATAACTGCCTGAGCCCCTGGCACACCTGTGGTGACAAGTGCACACTGCTGTGGCAGTGGGAGGGGCAGCAGTGTGAAGGAATTCTGACCCCAGTCCTAGCATTTAGCTGGTGGCTGGGGCAAGGTAGGCTAAACTACTGGTAGGCTCAGCTGTATTTTACTATTCATAGACAGTCCTGGGCATCACAGTAACATGGACAGTTCAAGAAGGAAACCAGAGGGAAAGGCAATGATGTTGTACTAAGATATTTATTATATCATAAAAAGTCCACTGTTGTCCTGTTTTTCCATATGTACATGCTCCTGTGGGCAGTCCCCCATTCAGCCCTGCCTGCCCACTCTCCATGGTGCCAGTCAGCTCTCCAAATTGACCAACTAATTAGTAAAAGAGGAAGAACTGGAGGAGGTGGCCCAGGGCTGATGGGAGTGGGATAGGAGAGGGGAACAAAGTGCAGAGTGGTTGGGTGTGGCTTTCAATGCCTGAACATGGGCAGGAGGGGCACATAGGCAGGCACTGCAAGGTTGGCACAGTGATGCCTCCCCAGAACTGCCAGGCTGGAGACAGAAGCTGCAGGTGACACCTGAGTGCACTCTCAGGGGCTGGACCCCCAGGAATGGCGAGCAGAAGAGGAAGGTCCCACAGTCTGATTGTGGGGCTCTCTCCACTGGGGCTATCAAAGTTCTCTTTTTCAGGCCCCTGTCCAAGTGGCAGTGACAGCAGCTTGGACTAGGCCTGAAGAGTCTGTGGCCCCCAGGACAGCCAGAGGGGGGCCAGGTTAGCCTGGTGGGAAGCACTGGTCCTGATCTCTGAGGGACCTGCCTTAGTTGACCTCAGAGGTGGGTATGGGGTCTGTGGGGCGTGGTGTGGCGAGGAGGGGCACTGGTGAGGTGGCCTCAATGAGTGCAGGGTTGAGGATGATGGGCAGAGTCATGGGTGGAACTCCCACTTGCAGTGGGGAGGCCAAGGGTTGCAGGATCAGTGGGGGCTGAGCCAAGGGTGGAGGCCCATCTGGGCTGGGGCTCAGCCTGCTGGGGCTAGAGGCCACTGGTGATCCTGGGGAGCTGCTGCTGGCTACTCGGGGGCCCTCAGGCTTCTCAAAGTCTGTAGGGAGAGCAAGATGGCTGCAATCAGACTCTTTTTATTGGCATAAGACAAATTCCCATATCCCCCAGCTGATTTACCAAATCTCTGTTCCTCCCAATCCCTGTGAACAAAATGACCCTTCCTAGGCTAAAATGTTGGTTATTTCCCTCAAAGCTCTATCTTCTCTCCCCTTTCAGGTTAATTGTGGTTTGCTCTTTATTAGAATCCCTGACGGGCAACCTCTGCATATTCAATCCAAGTCCCTGACTCAGCCTTCTCCCAAGTTTAGGGATTTCAGGTAGCAAGCTCATCATATCTTATGTGTACCTGCCATTTCCCATAGGCTGAGCAGACAAACAAGACTCACAGAACATGTGTAGCAGCAATCCCATGCTTCCCTGGGCTTCCTCTTAAGGCCTCCTATTTGCTGCCTAACAACCAGCAGGCTGGCCTGGAAGGACTCACCACAGGCTCCTAGTTCAGAAGGTGTCTCTGGAGGAGGTGGATGGCCTGTTGTCCTGGTGTCGCCAGCAGCAGCAGTCAGTTGGGGTGAGGCCATAGGTTTTTGGCTGTGAGGCTCCATAGGCATGGGGTCTAGGGAGGTAAAGGATCCAGATGACAGCTCTTAGAGGTTTCTTTCCCACAGAGCCTAGTTACCCACCAGGCTTTCCACCCAGCTATGGCATACAGAATGAATTCAGTTCTGAGGAATCTTTTTATAGAGCTGGGCTGAGCCCCCTACCCTGGATGACAGTCTGCTTGAAGAGCTCATCTCTTAGGTGGGGCAGAAAACAGTCAATGCGTTCCCAGGTGATCTCCCAGAGGGCTGAGGGGCTACCTCCTCGTGCATCTGCACTGTGGAAAATCTCTGCTGTGTCCATCACTAGGAGCATGTTCTTCAGAGATTCAGGGATGGCCTCTGACTGTGGGACCATGAGAATAGGAGATAGAACACAGGGAGATATGGTAAGGGGGAGGTAGCTGGGAAGGGGGAGGTAGGTAGCAAGGGGGAAACAGCAAGTCTTTCCAGTAGGTAGGAGTTGAGCTGAGATAAAACATACCAGTAAGTCACTGGAGCCTGCATGCATGTACTTGTCCATGAAGTCCAAGATGGTGAGCCAGAGGGCCGCAAAAGTAGAGAGTGACAGCAGTGGAGACAGGTGCTGTAGGAAGACCTATGGCCCACCAGTTCCCTTCAGCCAAAGGTAGTATATGAGCCTTCTGCACCCCTCTCTAAGGCTGGGAGGCAAGCCTGACTTTCATGGGACTCTTAGATCAGACATTCCTCTGAAATCCAGAATCCTCCCGGTCCCTGGGTCCTGCTGAGTCTCCATAACTGAGAGTCATGAGCACCTATGTTGCAACTTTAGGTTCTGCCAGAAGCCTGGAATCTCCCTTTGGGAAAAGGCAGGTGTGGGGAAGAGCAGGTAGATATGGGGTAGTAAGTAGTACCTTAGAGAGCAGTGTGGAGGCCCTCATACGGGTCTCCTCCATCCCGCCCACATCTGCAGGGCTAATGTTCTCCAAGAGCTTGGTCAGCAGAGGAAATAGCACCTGGTAAGTAAACATCCAATGTCTCCTTAGTAGGGTCAGGTGGGCAGCCTTGCTTCAAGGAAGCCAGGGGTTTGGGTGCATGGGCACAGAGCAGAAAGGAAGGTAGAACACAGGCTAATAACTGATATTAGGGGCCCCTCATCTGCCCTGCTCTCATCATCTTAGGATTTGAACTGTATCTTAAGACAGTAGAGGCTTGGCGCCTGTGGCTCAAGTGGCTAAGGTGCCAGCCACATACACCCAAGGTGGCGGGTTCGAATCCAGCCCGGGCCCGCCAAACAACAATGATGGCTGCAACCAAAAAATAGCAGGGCGTTGTGGCGGGCGCCTGTGGTCCCAGCTACTTGGGAGGCTGAGGCAGGAGACTCGCTTGAGCCCAGGAGTGGGAGGTTGCTGTGAGCTGAGATGCCACGGCACTCTACCCAGGGGGACAGCTTGAGGCTCCTGTCTCCAAAAAAAAAAAAAAGACAGTAGAAGTCCTACCTTGTTAAAGCAGGACTCCCATTCCAAGGCATCTAGCTTTTGCAGGTCGTGTACCAGCAGTGCCCGCTGCAGATAGGTCAAAGCCTGCATCCGTACCTGGCGCCGGGCATCACAGCATAAGCAGGCAATGCCTGGGAGGGAGAGCTCGGTCACACTCCTTCTGGTATTTTGATCCAGGTGCTCTCCAAGCTCCAGTTCTACCTTCCCCCCTCTCCCCAACTGCTCCCCTAGGATTACCCTGCAGTAATGGGCACCAGCAGTGAGCCCAGAGGGTGCGTGAATCTGCTTCGATCCTCCGGCCATCTGTGTCCAGATGGCGCTGCTCTTCTGCCCATGAGCTGTAGATAGAGGCCGCCCGCGTGTGCAGGGTGTGCATCAAGTCTAGCAACTGGGACCACAGGAGGGGGTAGGACATGAGTGAGGTTAGGTCTGCTGGACTCTTTCTTCCCTCCCCCTTCACTGTCCCTGACTGAGTCCTCAGGTAGAAACTAGCATCCATCACATCCCTCCACATCTCTCACTACTAGCTTTTCCTTGACTCAATGAGCTAGTTTAATTGCTCTAGTCCCAGCCATGTTTCTCTAAGTCAGGTATTACTCATGGTAGAAGAGACTTTTAGATGTGTGGACTAAGGATTTTTTTGTTGCCCTCAGTAGAATGCTATGGCATCACAGCTCACAGCAACCTCAAACTCTTAGACTTAAGTGATTCCCTTGCCTTAGCTTCTCAAGTAGCTGGGACTACAGGTGCCCACCACAACACCTGGCTATTTTTTGGTTGCTGTTATCATTGTTGTTTAGCAGGCCCGGGCTGGGCTTGAACCCACCAGCCTAGGTGTATGTGGCTGGCACCTTACTCACTGAGCTATGGGCACTGAGGCTGGACTAAGGATTAGTAACACTAAATTATAGTGTTACAGTGAGAAAGGTAATGTAATTATATATAATTACAGTGAGAAAGGTACATTTCTTTTCAATTCTACTTCACGCCTTCTGATGATAGAAAGCCTCATCTTAATTTCATTGTACTTATTTTTTACTTTTTCTTTTTTTTTTTTTTTTTTTTTTTTGAGACAGAGCCTCAAGCTGTCCCCCTGGGTAGAGTGCTATGGCATTACAGCTCACAGCAACCTCTAACTCCTGGGCTCAAGCGAGTCTCCTGCCTCTGCCTCCCAAGTAGCTGGGACCACAGGCGCCCGCCACAACGCCCGGCTATTTTTTGGTTGCAGCCGTCATTGTTGTTTGGCAGGTCCGGGCTGGGGATTCGAACCTGCCACCTTAGGTGTACGTGGCTGGCGCCTTAGCCGGTTGAGCTACAGGCGCCGAGCCTATTTTTTACTTTTTCTTGAGACATAGTCTCACTCAGTATCCCTTGGTAGAGTATGGTGGCATCATAGCTCACAGCAACCTCAAATTCATGGGCTCAAGTGATCCTCTTATCTCAGCCTCCCAAATAGCTGGAATTATAGGTGCAATAGTGCCTGGCTAGTTTTTCTATTTTTAGTCTTGACTTGTTCAGGTTGGTCTTAAACTCTTGAGCTCAGGTGATGCACTTGCTTTGGCCTCCCAGAGTGCTAGGATTACAGGTATGAGCCATAGTGCCCAGCCCTTGTTAATCTCTTTTTAAAAACAGAAAGCCCAGGCTCGGCACCTGTAGCTCAGCAGCAAGGGTGCCAGCCACATACACTGGGGCTGGCGCATTTGAACCCAGCCAGGGTCTGCCAAACAATGACAACTACAACAACAACAAAATAGCTGGGCGTTGTGATGGGCGCTTGTAGTCCCAGCTACTTGGGAGGCTGAGACAAGAGAATTGCTTGAGCCTAAGAGTTTGACTTTGCTGTGAGCTATGACTCCACAGCACTCAACCGCAGGACGACTGAGACTGTTTCAAAAACAAAAAACAAAAAAACAGTAGAAAGCAACCTCAGGCTCAGAGGCTTTAATGGGTAATAGCATCTGGCCAGATTTAGTAAATTTTTATTTTCATCATTTTTCTAAGGTTATTCCATTTAAGGCAATTTGTTCTTTATTTTTTTAGTGTTATAAAGTCTGTTCACAGGATAAATTTCTTATGTTTTGAATACACAAAGAATTCCTCTTGAAGATAGATAAGAAACTGGTGACAGTGGGTGCCTCTAGTGAGGGGAAACTTTGCAGTTGGAGACAGGAATGAATTGGAAACTTACTTTTATCAGTTTTACCCTTTTGTACCTTTTGAACTTTGTACTGTGCACATATATTACCTATTCAAAAAAGACGTAAACTTTAGTTTAAAATTAAGTTTAAGCAAACAAAGACTTACAGGTGGTCTTGGATAAGGGGAATACAGTGAAGGTGGTGGTCCAGGGCTTGGGCTGGAAACAGATGGGCCCTTCCTCTCAGCCCTGGCTTTCCCTGGCCACACCTTGGCTCCCAGTATTAGGTGCAGGGGAGGAGAGGAAGTAAAGGGTGCCATACTTACGTCCTGACTGACCTGTAAAGACACCGTATGATAACTGGCAGGCACGCTTTCATCTTCATCATCATCACTATGGCCTCCCCGAGTGGTATGTTGGCTGGAGGTTCGAGGCCGCCGAAGCATTGAGCCCTCCTTGGATTTCTTCTTGAAGCGATTCCCTTTGCTATCATATTTGTGACCCTTGCCACGTTTCTCCTGGGACTTGCACCCTGAGCAAAGCCAGACCCAGGTCATACTTCTACAGCAATTGGCACAGAGGCCCTGCTTTTTCCCTCTAGCTATATCTCCCCTGTACATTCACACGGCTACTCCCCCAGTGCCCATTCATCAGGTGACCCACCGCCATTCAGACTGGCCTCTACAAAGATGCGGAGAGTCTTGACGCAGAGCTCAAAGTTGTCAGGTGTGATGTGGGCAGCATCTCGCACGATGAAGGATAGTGATTCCACACACTTGAGCAAGGACTTGGTGTCGTGTGGCCCCAGGTCCAGTCCCACTGTTAGGCTATACTGATTGATCAGGGGTGAAGGGCCTGGCCGGCTGGGCCCTGGCCCTGGCTTGGAGTTATCAATATCATCCTTTCCCACCTGTAGAGTACACAGAGGAGATGGGGACCCAGACTTGATCCTGCCTACTCCTAGATGCCCTCTCGGAGCATCAGAAATCCTTCCCACAGGTCAAAGGGGGAAGACTCACCCATTGCCCATAGGTTCACTCACCACTAACCAACCACTGTTGACCACATCAGCATCTGTGGCTGATCGGTGTATCTTGCCAGGCCTGCCATGGTCAGTGTAAACCTCTGAGTCTGAAGTATACCCTCGGTCCAGGCTCACATCATTTTGATGGTAGGATGGGAGCTCACTGTCTGACTGGGCCCCTATGCCAGGCAGGGAGAAGAGTAGAGTCAGGGTCAGGGTAGGACAGCAGGATAAGGGATACCCTAGACTTTCAGAAGAAAGGTGCTAGGGCCTGGCCTCTCCTCTTTCTAATATGGCTTATTTTCAGCCCTGTTACCAGAGAGCTGAAGGATGGTCTAGACAGCTTCTTTTTTGTTTGTTTGTTTTTGAGACAGAGTCTCACTTTGTCACCCTCAGTAGAGTGCCATGGTGTCATAGCTCACAGCAATCTCAAACTCTTGGGCTCAAGCGATTCTCTTGCCTCAGCCTCCCAAGTAGCTGGGACTACAGGCACCTGCCATAACACCCGGCTGTTTTTAGAGACGAGGTCTCACTGTGGCTCAGGCTGGTCTCAAACTCATGAGCTCAGGAAATCCACCCGCCTTGGCCTCCTAGAGTGCTAGGATGACAGGAACGAGCCACCACGCCCAGCTTACAGCTTCTCTCTTGACTAAATAGGGCAGGTCAGCAGGCTAATTTAGGCTTCTGATGGCATCTAGTAGCAGCTATCAGGGGATGGACCTGGTAGATAGGACACAGTTTCTGGGAAAATAGTCCTCAGGACAGTAGGATGCTTGGCTTTATAGCATTCAGGGTTGCCTACTTGCATTCATGCTATTTAATCTATGGGTACTGGCCAGCAGAAACTGGAAGCTCTGGAAGCAGATGGAGAAGCCAGGGGCATTTAATCTGCTGAATGTAATAACCTATGTTGTTTTCCTGTCCCAGCTCCAGGGTCTGTAACTGTTTATCTGCCAGGCTTAGTCTCCCTGGGTAAGGGCTTACCAGCATCAGGTGCATCGGCCCTGGCTGTGGCCTGCAGAGCAGCTGGAGGCTTCACACCTGAGCCGATGCACTCTAACAGCGTGAAGAGTGTGGCCCAATCATCGCCTGAGTGGATGTTTGCAGCATTTGTTTTAAGAAGTTCATGGAGCCCATATGCAACCTGGTGGCTGACTCGGGACAGCACGCTGGGCTTCATCAGTAGCAAAATGCGAAGGGAGAGCAGTACCTGGGGTAGGAGAGGAGGAAGAGGAGAATGTTTTGTTCTCATCAGTCTCTTTAGACCAGTGAGGAGAGTTTGGCTAAGACTCAACTTAAGATACTGTTGCTCGTGTTTCTTTTTTTTTTAGAGACAGAGTCTCACTTTGTCACCCTCAGTAGAGTGCCGTGGCATCACAGCTCACAGCAACCTCTAGCTCTTGGGGTTAGGTGATTCTCTTGCCTCAGACTCCTGAGTATCTGGGACTACAGGCACCGCCACAACACCCGGCTATTTTTTGTTGCAGTTTGCCCCAGGCTGGGTTTGGACCTGCCACCCTCGGTATATGGGGCCGGTGCCCTACTCACTGAGCCACAGGCGCTGCCCTCTTTTCATTTTTTCAAATAGAAATTTTTATTTAGATAATTATAGGTTCACATGCAATTGTAAGAAATAACATAGGCTCGGTGCCTGTGGCTCAAGTGGCTAAGGTGCCAGCCACATACACTTAAGGTGGAGGGTTCGAATCCAGTTGGGCCCACCAAACAACAATGATGGCTACAACCAAAAAAAAAAATAGCCAGGCATTGTGGCAGGTGCCTGGGGTCCCAGTTACTTGGGAGGCTGAGGCAGGAGACTTGCTTGAGCCCAGGAGTTGGAGGTTGCTGTGAGCTGTGATGCCATAGCACTCTACTCAGGGGGACAGCTTGAGGCTCTGTCTCAAAAAAAAAAAAACACAAAGAGATCCCTTATATACCTTGCTTAGTTTCCCCCAATGGTAACACTATGCAAAACTATAGTATATCACAACGAGGTTTATTGATATAATCCACTGATCTTATATAGATTTCCCAAATTTTACTTGTATTTATATGGGTGTATTATGTTCTACACAATTTTATTACTTTGTATATCTACCACAAGACAACATACCAGTTTCTTTTTTTTTTTTTTT